TGAATATCCAATAATTGGAAACATTTAAACAATCTTATAATCTATTTTTCGTTCACTGCGAGATCCCGCGTTATACGTGAAGTCGAGCGTAACAAACAAAGATGATAGCGTCGTAGTGACGTCAACATTACAGTTGGATTCGGAAAACGCGCAGTATTTTTGAGTATTTTGAAATTGAACTATATAAAAACAAAACCCGCTCAACGTTCAACCCGCGTCTTTCACACGGGATATCGCAGTGAACGCCTGGAAAATCACCTACTATTTGCCCATGCCAGAAATGTATTTCTAAATCGCGTCTCTGTTCTAGCGAAATAGTTTATCTTAAAAACTGAAAATACGTGATAAATACAGTGAGGGAAAGGATGCACTATCTCCGTGTTAATGGTGAGACTCAGGTTCGTGGGCGCTTATATTCAAACCTGTATTTCACAGTGAAGATGGTATTTGAATACATACATGTTATATATTTTTAGTTAGTTCTGTGTGTGAATTGTGTGAAAATGTTATTTTTTTCTCAAACGAGTGAAGTGTATGTATGTATCCTTCGAAAATATGCCTTTTTGAGTTGTTTTTCACTCAGAATGAGGCAGGGATTTGCATAATCCCCTGTCAACCTATGTTAATGAGTCTCATCGTTAAGCCCGTAGAAAAACAATAGCACGCGTAGTTGTTTATTATCGATTTTTATTAATATTTAGCACTTTTCCAATCACAAATTCAACTATTTTGTTTTATTAGTGTGAAAACAACCTCACAACATTTGGAAATACGCACAAAAAATGTCCAAAAACATGCCTTCAAGTTGAACCTGTGTCTCATCCTTAATCTCGTTTATGTAAACATCTGTTTTTTACTCCCAGGATGCAAATGGGTCATAATTCCCGAGTTTCCGGATTGTGGACACAATCGATTGTAACATTTCCATTTGCTAATACCCCCCCCCCCCCACGCAGTAATACTAGAAACTCAATCAACACACGTAGCTACTTTACAACGACAGGGCTTGGTGGTAACAATATCCAAATCATGAAATTTCTAGAATGTTGATGTAAATACGTACTTAAATATTAATTTTTACCCGGAAGGAAAACCGCAGTTAAGTCTAAGTAAGTATAGAAGGCAAAATTTGATACATTGAAAGAAACCTATCGGCAAACAAGCGGATCTCTGATTGGTCTGACCATGGAGCTAAAAAAAAGGAGAGAGGACCCTATTGTCTTTCCTGTGTACCACGTTAGTTGGTTCTTGTTTGCTTAGCCAAAAGATAAACAATCTCTTCCCTGTTGTCTGTTTAATCCCTTCTAATTGGATTACGTGATTCGTGTATATTCGGAACGCATTCGGTATTCGCCGGCACACTGTGTGCAAAGGCCTCTGGGACGGAGAGCGCGATTAGAGTTGACTGCGCATGCGCACAGTAACAAACAGGTACAGTAATCTTCCAACCTAGCGGCGAACCATCGACATATGAAATGCGATCTTTACCGATCGCTGGA